TTCATTCTTGACTCAAAATTCATACTTTTAGGGACTGGTTTTTCAAAACTTCCTTAAAACAAGTTAGGCTTAATGAATTTGTTCAGAAAATTCTTTGAGAGCTCCTTCTGAGCTCAGGCCTGCCTCCATTTTTCTTTCTCTATTCATTTCCCTAGACACATCAGGTCTCATAAGGTGAGTCTTCCCTGGGGCTCTTACTTTTCCAGGTTCTTGATCTGATTGTTAAGATATCCTGACAGTTTCTATGGGAATCCCCAGACACATCTCTCTTTTGGATCTATTTCCTCTTCCCCTATATAGTCCCTTCCTGTACCATGGAATTGAAACCCTTCTCTGCCAGGGCAATAAGCCCCACCACACCACTCACATATCAGAGAGGGTTTCCATCTGCCCACACCCTACAACAATAATCTACGAAAACGTCTTCATCTGATCCTGTTGAGTAAGCACCTTGGAACATCACATTGAAGCAGACAAATCACTTGGCTACCTAAAGTTCAACATCATTTCAAAGTGCCACCGAATCAAAATGACTTTAGTCCCTGAACAAACAAAATACGATCATCACGAAAAGATATGCACAACACATTCACAGGAGCACTATTAGTAATACGCCCAAGCAAGAGACTATGTAAATGTCCAGCAACTGTAAAATAGGTATACAACTGAACAGTATTAGAGCAAAGACAATGCAAAAAAAGTATTGCATACAATATTGTAGATTTCACAAATATAATAAGCAAAACAAGGTAGACACAAAAGAATATTCACTGTATGATTCTATTCATAAAAACAAACTAAACAAAGGCATCACAAGGCAGGATATTGGTTGCTCCTGGAGCATGAGTTGGGGAAGGCTCTGGGGTGCTGGTAATTTTCTATTAATCAAGGTGCTGATTGCAGAAGTGTGTCCACTTTGTAACAACTATTCCATCAAGCTATCCACTTAGCGACGTATGCACTTTCCTGCATGCATAAGGTCCCTCAGCAAAGAGCTGACTGAGACGGACCCTTGAGAGCATCTGGTCCGTGCTCTTTGGTTGGCATAAGACCAACTGTTTCCCATGGACGTTAGGTAGCTCATGGACACAGAGGAAATTCATGAAAGGACTGGAACTGGACATCAGATCTCTTAGCTCCCCACCACAGGTACCAAAGCTGTGTGACAGGATGTTCCTCTAACTTCCTTGCTTTCTGTGACTCCAGCCAAGGTTTAGAAGGATGAGGAACACATTACTCTTATGAACGCAATCCAGGAGTTTCCAATCTTTTATTGACATCCATGCCAGGAAGAGCATCTAAACACGCTTTAGGATATGGCAAATCAGAGAAAGTCAGACAGTTCACATTCACTGGCTAGGTGACCGTCAGCATGCTCCTTACCTCTCTTGTATTGTCATCCAGATCACTGAAGTGTTAACTCCTACCCTGCAAGGGTGCCATGAGGATAAGGTAATAAGTAGTGTCAGGGCCATGCCTGGCACATGGCAAGCATTCAGAAACACTATTTGTAAAATGAATATGGAATCGAATTAATCAAATGCTTGTCACTTGGTAGAAGCTCAATAAATAGTAGTTATTATTACTGAGAAAGAGAAATAGGGAGAAAGTGGCTAAATATGCTTGTGAGAAACCAACACCTCATATTCTAAGCCTACTGGGTCATTAATGGGTCAAACAGCAATTCTCACTGGTGTAAATAAGGTAGTGAAATGGTCTGTGAGGTGGAGAGTGATGAAGGACTCGAGAAGAGGGCTGTACTTTTTATTTTATGTGCTACCAGGTGTGTATTTTCCTTCTCAGTGCCAAATGAAGATTTGCTCATCGCCTGCCACACCACGTCTAAATCCTACAGCCACCTATGTTATTCATGTTACTCTTAGAATTTCAGGTTTTAAAAGGGGGAGTGGATATAAACACTCCTAGACTTAATTAGTAGACTCACTAGAGTCAAGTAATTCTACTTCTGGAAAAAAAATCACATACTCTAGGGGAAATTGCAGGCTTTAGAGAGGTCTGAAATGAACCATGACCAGAAGTTACTTCACTTACCTTTTTAAAAAGCAGGTTTAATACTGATTTTTTTTTCAGTTCTTCAAATCTTGGATGTATATAGCAAGCTAATCCACACAAGTTCTTTGATACTGAAAAGAAACAAATACAAAAACAAGTTAAAACTGATTTCAAATTATAGTACACCAGAAAAAATAAAAGCGGCAAATGGTTAATTATTATATAAACAAAGAACATCAAACTAGATAACATGAGTGTAATTGAAAACAACGAAACATGTGTTAAGGACTTCCTTCCATCCATCCTTTCTCTCCTATCCTCCTTCTTTCATTCTTCCCCATCCAGCACTCCACCCTTCTCTACCTTCCTTCCTCAGTTAACTGGATAACCTTAAATATTCCCTGATGACTGATTTTTTCTGCTGAAACCAAGTAGCACATGGTATGTACTCTATGAATGTTTGTTGAGTAAATGAATGAACCACATTTTGCAATATTTTGTTGTTAAGATTTAAAAAATAAGAAATGACCATAATTTATTATTTTGTTGTCCAACAGGAACAAGTTATAGATAATATGTAGAAATACATATACTGTTTCTGACTTGAGTTTCTGATTCTCTTATCTCTTTTAAATAACTCATACTTAGGGGGAAATTCCCATTAGTATATATGGGCACATACATCTCCACCATGATACAGTAATAAAATATATTTTGGTACTAAAAGAATATTTAAAAGAGTAAAATTTCCTTTTGAGATGCCCTCTCTTCAAATACCTCAGAACTATCTGCATCCAAAGGAGGAAGCAAGGTGTCTCCCAGTTAAATACAAGAGCTATTGCCACACGTGTTTTACAAATGCATACAGAGTCAGGGCCAGTCCTAGACAAAATTATGATGTACGGACATGGCTGTTTCCTTCCTTCTATCTGTCCTTTTGAGGATTCATTAACCCCAGATGTTTAATCAAGTAGGGAAACAAAAGGATCAGCTCCAAGGCTGCAATAACTTAATGGATATCCTTCATGAGGACATTTTTATTAAAAAAGAAAAAAAAGCTTCAGAAAAGGCAGGTGCTTAACAGTGAAATAAAATGCATTACTGACTATGGAATTTCATGATGAATGAGGTTGTGGATTTTCATCATGGAATTTCTCAACACCCCATCAAATTACATCAGGTAAGTATCTGTCCATTCTGCTTTCTCCTACAGCTGGCTTCATATATGGCCTATATATACACACTAATCCCAGCAAATTTTAAGTAATTTATGATATATACATAGGCAAGCTCAAGTTTAAGACTAGGCTGTGCTCTGAAAGTAAACAGTCATGTTAATGAGCAGTTTTCAAAGTGAGCTCCTAGGAATCCCACCCTCATGTGCTTCTGAGAGCGGAGGCAGAAGTGAGTGGATGTGCAGCCCTGTGCGGTGCGATTTCACTTTCGTCTGTTTCATACTTAGACCCAAGATTTAGTTGGGAAGTGGTTCCTCCAGCTGCTTATGAAAGAGCTGAAACAATCAATGGAACCAAGTAACAATTAGATTAAAAGTTAGTGCAGAAAATCCCAGCCAGTCCACAACACAGCTGATCTAACACCAAAATCCAACCACCACCTGTCATAGGGTAAAATACAAGTCCTAGCCTGAGTCCCAGGGCAGAGGTCAGCCTGGGTATGAGCAGACAGGACCTGGGCCTTCTCTTCTTCCCTACTCAGCCCCCTCATCTCCTGCCCTGGAACATCATGAGCAGAAGCAAGGGCACCTACACTTCCATGGGGACTGAGTCAACAGTAAGAGGGCAAGATTAGGGTGCAGGGGGCCTGCGGATGTTCACAGGATGGTGAAGCAAGACATGGTGGGTTTCTGTAAGTCAGTCACTTCCCAGGCCCTGCCCTGATCCCCACCAGCCTTTTTGCTGGGAATTCCATGTGCAAGGTTTACATGCTTCACCTGGATCAAGGCTCTTGGCTAGGAATGAGAAAGGAGAAAATTAACAGAACAGTCTAAAAAGAAGAAAAATATACCTATGTTCTATGAAATCCAATTCAAAACAATATGTAAAATGAAAAAAGGGGGGAATATGGGAGGAGCATTATGAGAAAATAAGCATTGGCTGAATGTGCTCCAGAGAAATTCACATTGACTAAGAAGCACTGAGTATATTCAATCCCTCCCTCAGCACAGAGCTCTAATTATTTGGCCCAACCAGGACTGAATACAAAAAAATTTATAAACATGAACCATTATATTTTTTGAGTTTTCATCATACTAAATAGTAAGTATAAGTAAAAGTAGCTGTACTTGATGGCCCACTAGGAACAAACAAAAAACTACTGTTGGAGTACAACCTTGGCAGGCTGAGGTGGGAGAATCACCTGAGCCTAGAGTTTGAGTCCAGCCCAGGCAACATAGCAAGAGCATGCTTTGAAAGAAGAAAAGACAAAAAGAAAAGAAAAGAAAGTGGGAAGGAAGGGAGGGAGGGAGGGAAAAGAAAAGGGAAGGAGGGAGAGAAGAAAAGAAGAAGGAAGAAGTAGAAGGAGGAAGAAGAAGACGGAAGAATAAGAGGAAGAGGAAGATGATCAGGAAGAAGAAGCAGCAGCAGAAGGAGGAGGAGGAAGAAGGACGAAGAAGAAAAAGAAGGAAGAAGAAGAAAGAAGAAGGAGGAGGAAGAGGAAGAAGAAAGAAGAATAAGAAGAGAAAGAGGAAGAAGATGAAGGAGGAGGAGGAAGGAAGAAGAAAAAGAAGAAAGAACAAGAGGAAGAAGGAAGAAGAAGAGGAGAAGGAGGAAGAGGAATAAGTAGGAGGAAGAGGAGGAAGAGGAAGAAGAAGAGAAGAAAGAAGGAGGAGGAGGAAGAAGAAGAGGAAGAAGGAGGAGGAGGAGGAGAAGAAGTAAGAAGAAGAAGGAGAAAGAAGAGAGAAGGAAAAAGAAGAAAGAAGAAGGAGAAAGGAGAAAGAAGGAGAATGAGAAGAGGAAGAGGAGGAGGAAAAAGAAGGAGGAGGAGAAGGGAAAGAAGATTTACAAGCTTACGTTTATTTTGGACTTCAATCTTTGTCTTAAAAACAGTTTCTG